GACTGTTGTTTGAAAATTTGATTCATGGAGTAACAAGGTTGTCGGATGGGGTAAAATAGGCTTGGAGGAGTTTACAGACAGGTTATGGACCATTGCGCGCCTAGGCATAGTTTTCTCTAAACCGAAAGCAGCGTTAGACTTTGAAAAGTGTCAAAATAATAAGGGATGTTTTAGAACCCTCAGGGTTAAAATTGTCATTATGATGTTCATGTAGCGAAAATTGCTTAAGAGGAAAAGACTGTGGAACTTGGACTGAGGTAGATACCATCAGCTAAGAGTGAAAATGGACCCAGTGTTCACCTGCCACAATAAGCAGTCTTTCGTCCTATCCCCGCTACAGGCGAGGAGTTCCAGCGACCCATAGCTTCTCCTGGAGATGGAGAATAACGCCTCTCATGGATTACAAAACAGTGCGGTCTGCTCGAATGCAGATTGACCCGGCTGCTATCATCTCGCTGCTTCGGTGTCTCTAGGGAACGGAGTTCCAGCGAACACTATGATATCGTAAAATTCTGTTTACTGATGAATGAAACATAATTAAGTGAGTTTCGAATGTTTTGTAGCTATAAGAGTCGGTAAGTCCTGGTTCTTTGAAGTCAGCGACCTTGCATTACCTGCGGGTACCTTTTACAAACTGAGCATTGACAATGAAAAGGTGAATAAAGAGGTTATGCATCTTTCCGACATCCCTACTTCTGGTTCCCACTGAATCCCTCACTCAATTTCCGTTTTGCGACACGGACATTCTTTCCCTACCTTCCGGCTTAACACATAGTACAAATTCAGGAAAAAGGTCATCCAGCGGGCTAACCCGGCTTGTCAAACGGCTTCTGGGTGATAATCTAGCCAGCCCTTAGTGAGCTCTCCTGGAAAAACACTTCCAAAGATACAAAGAGCTGTGGCAAATCAAAACATCAAACATCTGCCATTCCGTAAATCCCTGTACAAAGTGGCCACTCGAGAGAATAAAAATGGTCCCAAGGCAGTAGAACAATCAGGTTTTTGACCACCTACGTGCATATCGCCACCACATAGGTTGACAAACTATGAAGCAGCGGTCCGCGCGAACTCCATCAGTCTATACTCTTTTATATTGCTTTTGGTTAACAAATACCAGTGCTCGGACAGGTGCAGTCAAACTTTAAGAGAACTGGAAGCCCCGCCACTCGCTACTCGCCAGAATCTTTGCAAGCGCCCGTTTTGAGAGCGCCTACCACTGTTTGTTCGTCCAACTCACCTGAGTGGACCTCGTGTGGATGATAGCAAAGCCATGGGACAAATACAGAATGGGGAGTTCAACTTCGTTTTCTACTGAGTAAGGCAATCGTGCGCTTCTGACAAAGTCTCAACAGCTTCCGAGAAAGAAACCACGTGCGTATGCTACGACCTCGTGAATGGTTTACGTTCACCACCCATTGCTTTCTTCATTCAAAGGGAAGTCAGATGAACAGCATCGTGGTACGTTAAACCGTTGCCTATATAGTTTTACCAGCGAAATCAGCCGCTGTTGTTGCCGTTGGACGATTTCGTGGTTTTAGGTGAGACTGACAATCTGTGAACAATTTTGGAGCCGTTTTCTTTGCACTTTCTCAGGTTTCTCTAACCAACCTGCTCATTTTGCTTAAAAAAACCGATCGTGCCTAACTTAAACTGTGCCCTTTCACAATACAATACTGCAGTAATACTCAGTGTTGATTCCCCATATGAATCAACGGTGAACAGAGGTCGTTTCCTCTTGGGTTCTGACCTTTCCCCTTTTTCTGCAAAAATGTTTTGTTTCCCGTCTGCTCGTTTCCTCCAGTTTTGCTCCTTCCAAATGCCCGCTTATTCTTGAGTTACTGGTGTAGGTTTTTTGTTGCCCGTCCGTCGTTGCTTGAAAATTCTTCCCACTTCGATCTATTTTCGAGTGTTTTCTGGCAGAAAAAAGCCGACCAGCTGAGGATCGAACCCAGATCAACTCGGATGGTGAGCAGGCGTGTTGTCCATACATTAACTCAATACTCGGAAAGCATTGTGTTTTCTGTTACCCATACACCACGACTGTCACATAGACTTTGGTGAGATTTGTTTTAAACGCAGCTAAACGCGCAGTCTGATTTTTCAAATGACGCGGGGTGCTGCATCGCGCCGTCGACCAAAGTGAGTTCTTTACTTCCTGAACTTACTGATTGCTTCCTGCGCAGTTGTCTACAGGGCAAACCCGCACTGACTGACTACACATATCTGCACGTCTATACATCGCTGTTGCTCCCAGGAATCCCTGCCGCCTCACTAGCCATTTTCCGTTCTTGATGACTGCGCTTTTGTTGACTGTACGGTTTGCCCAATTCACATTGCTCTTTAACTCTTTTTTCTGTGGAACCAGTTTCTGACAGTTCTCAACACATCATCTACTGGCACCGTCTGGCCGTTCCTGCATAAGAACTGCGTATGATCCGACAGCCCCAATCCCCCTGTGAGATACTTTGCTGCCCGGGTCTTACACTAGGCTTCAATTGAAGCTAGTGGATGTTCGATTTCCTCAAAAGACATAACGCAGGCTGTCGGGAATGTGGCTTCGCCACAAGCATGCGATTTGTGGAACCCGTAAGAAAGATTTCGAAACTGATTTTTCGCTGAACCACATCCACGCAAGGCAACAACGTTTGAAAACCTCAGCCAGGGGAGCTGAGCGTTAATTGCTACCGCCCGGTGTTAGACAATTCGACATGTTTTTCGCCCCTAGCCTGAAAATGGTCTGAGACATCTATTGTAGTCACATCGATACTTTCCTACCGTGTGTTAAAAGAAATTTAATTTCTTCCTTGGTAGTATTTCTTTGCATCAATTTTTGCGCTGAGCAGAAAGATGCTATTTCACTCATTTTCGTACACTGTGTGACATCTGGTGCCCTGAGAACTGACAGATGGCGTTCCTCATGCGCCTCACTTTGCGTGGCTAGTGTGTGCATGCTCGTCTAGGACAATGCAGCGCATCGATTAGGTGTTGAGTCTACTGGGTGAGTGGATGAGATTCCTAATTCGGTTGGATCGTATGGCGTGGGCGCAATCCGGAGAAAGTTGACGTCATATCGGCATCCGATGTTTGAAGCTGAACTAATTTTTAACATCGAGTCTGATAAACGCCTAAATAGCTCTATAGCGGTTAAGAAGCCTGGGCACAACTAACCCCAAATTCAGGGTATACGAAAAAGAAATATGAAAATTATCGGTCTAAATGGTTGAAGGCGTGGCATTTGCCAATGAAGGCTACCAAACCTTTGCGAGCACGGTAGGTGAGAGATGGCAGCTGATGCTTTATACCCAAATGGAGCATTAGCCTATATATGAGTGCAAAATAAACCTCAAAGCCATAGCCACACACTCTTAATCTCCCCATTTAGTTGAGCATGCGTATCAATCCCAGTCACGCCGCAAGAATAAAACGACAATTTATCACGTGACTTTTGTTTTCCTCCATGCAAGTGCGGCAAATCGGTCCCCGCAGGGGAAACCCACGGAGAGTGAATACCCGCGACCTTACTGCTTAAGAGGACAGGACGAATGCATTTACTTACAGCTTTTACAAGACCAGAAGGGAGCAAATTATGCGAAAATCCACCCTTGCAGCAGCCCAAGTATTGAATTATTTGTGGATTTCTAAAAAGTAATGAAGACTGCCTCGATGAACATCGTTTCAATGTACGTAAACAAGTACTTGTGAGCTGTCGGCCAAGCTGAGACTGACGTACAAAATCACACATTTTTGAAACTCGCCACCTGTTGCCTTGGTGGATGAAAAAATGACAATTCACTCGACCGCAAACTGGACGTAGAATTGAGAAGCATTTGGCGCTGAGGTCAGTTGTGATGAAAATCTCCAGAAAGCCGACGTGGTGAAGAGGCCCTAAAGGAGTTACAGCTACCCCCTACCAACCAGATACGGAGTGCTTAATTTCCTCAACGTAACCATAATATTGGACTGCCTTGAATGACCCGGTGGGCCCTTCGTAAAGACTTCTTCAGTGATTCACGAGATGGTACACTGGAGGAGGGATCTCTCACAAGTTTCCTGGGTGGGGTTTGTTCTCGTCGTTCAGCGACTTCTTTTCACATGAAAGGTGCAGGCGAAATATGGCGTAGCACCGCTCTTTAATCTCTCAGCGTAACGCAGCAATCTCCTTAGGACGAGAGCTCACATAGAAAGCGTCCATAAAGTGCTTCATCATTATGATGAAGATGCCTGTCCAACGACTAGTGTTTAAATCATCTACATCCATTTGGATGGCACCGAATTTAGGACTCCAAGGATTTAAGTCACTGCAAAAAGCAGACGTGGATTTAAGGAATATATGGAAGATCGTTGACGCAGATAAAAACGGAAGTGATTAAAAACACAGCCTTGAGTAGCCCCAAGAGGGACTGGTTTCGGGGAATAGTAGATCAAGCCTACTTTCGCTCGAAAATTTCTATCCGATAGAAAGGCCTTGATCCGGCGTAGAACTTCTCCTTGAATTCCATTGGACTCGAGCTTGTATAGCAGCGAACATTTGGGACTTGACCATATGCTCATGAGAATTCGACAACTATGGCATGCGATATGAGGCCGTCGCCTTTAGCTTGGGTTAATATGTCCATAATCACGAGCATGTAAGAACGGTTTGAGAGGAACCGGTGTTGCGGATATCAAGCTGTTGGATCTGATGTAATTTAAGCCAGTCCTCTTCAGGGTGCAGGTCACTCGGAACAGTAAGCTTGCGTGGTTATTAGGCTCATGAACCTTCTGGATACGTTCTCCAGTGAAGCTGGTCCCAGTTTAATTTGGCCGATGAGTTTTTAGTTATGAAACTCCTAGAACGCCCAGCATCACCAAATATACATGGAACCTGGAAACCAAAACGCGCGTGTCTCCCCTATTGCCAAAAGCCGTGAAACGCACGAAGGGGGATTACCCCATCCGCTTCCCGTATCTCTTAGTGCCCAACACTTGCAATTTGTTTAGCCAAGTGACAGATTCCAAAGGCCGCGCCGCGCTCCTTTTGGATTTTCGGAATGGCTGCGAAGACGTTTGCGAAACCACGCTGTAACCAGTCTGAAGAAGAACTGTATGAACTAGAAAAGCAGGAATTCGAAACAGGCCCGCTATCAGTTCTCACAAATGCAGTGAAAAATAACACCCAGGTGAGAACTTTTTGTTTTCGTCGATAAGAACCTTAAAGGTTCGAATCGGGCACCAAGTGTATGAATGTTCCCAACCCATGTATGCAGTGAATGAATCTGAGTATTGCCGTGTCAGAATAATTAACTGAAGATTAGTTTCCCTGCAGTAGCTGATGGAGCACGAATAGGCTATAGCGTGATGACCTTATCTTAACATACTTTTTGAGAGTGTTTTAACTTCGCCATCCTGTATCTTTCATTCCAACAGCAAAAGGCCAGGCCAAATGCGAGGTATTCCCTATGAAAGGGCGCGTACCTTCCTTATCAGACACGATTCTTGCTGCGTTTTGCCACTGCTAGTTCTGTACTAGTTTATGGGTCCTCTGTATCGGTATTCCTCAAAACCTTTCCAACCATCAGTGTTTTTGGTTGACGCTACAGGCTGATGCTATCACCACAATCTCTTTAACAATCTCCTGTCGGTTCGCCTCATAGAAGTTCGACCTTCATGATAAATACCTCGTTTGCGACCGTGTAGTTATGCATAGTTGCTTGGTGGCGCTTTAGTCACCACTAGTTTGTCTACAACACTCGCAGCACGAGTGAGCGGGCCCTTCTGGATTTCCTGTTTTATTTGCTCAGCGTCTTCATATGATCCTTGAACTGAGCTCTACGAGGGTTAAAATATATCGGAACGAACAATGATCATTCTGTGAACTTATTTAGGGTTGGATGCAGAGGTGCATTGTTCATACTTTACATCACGTTAATTAACTCAGCTGCGTCTACCAACAATTTCGGTTTTCGACCTCTTAAAAGCCTTTGACTCCGTGGATACATTGGCTCGTGTATTTTCTTGGCTAGGGCGGGACACTTGAGGTCCGTAGACAACATTCCTATACTTTCGGCGTACAATGAGGTTGCCACAAGCTTCCTGATAATGAGTACAGCTCGTCAGGACTGTCTCTTCTCGTTCTCGCTTGTCTTCGATGTACACACTAAGGAATCGTGAGCTTAGATATTGAATCACGTCATTTTGTTGTTTGAAGCTGGTCCGCGCAGTTTTCTGAACTGTATTAGAGGTCCCGCTCTACAGAATGCGTTTTGGACCTTTAAAAGTCTTCAAGCTTCCTGGTTGTCCTAGGCCTCTGAAGCATCAGAGTGAAGAGTGAGCTTGTTGGTCGGGTTATTATCCTGACAGCTGCATAGGTCGTGATTGTACCGTAGCAGATTAAGCCAATGCGCGGACAATCTAGGCGCGACTGGCATTCACCAGCTTGCATCATGGCATCGGGAGCGAATTTTACTGAGGCTGAAGGGCAGAACCTTCAAGACAGCGGTAAGAGTGGTCTTAATTTATGGTTGTGACTTGGTACTTTCGATCCGAAGGCCTTAGGTATATTCAAGTGTCTAATCAATGGTGCCTTTGTAGCATAGTAGGAGTTGGCTGGTAGCAGCCGGTACGTAACGAAGTGATGCGTGAGCCCGATACTTAACGAATCATAGTCGTTAACGTATCAAGTGAAACGTTTCAGATTAATACTGTTGGGGCAGGAATTACGAATGCCCGAGTACCGTCTACCAAAGATAGCGCTTTTTTCTGGTCCATGTCAATGTTGTCGAGAGTCGTGGGAGACGTGGACTGAAAACGGCTGGAGCCAACGTGATCCTCCTTGTAGGTGGGTGGAAACACTGCAGGACATGGCTCGCAACCAATCCCAGTAGCGTGACTGCAGTTAAGCGCCAGTACATATTACTGGTGCATTTCTATCAATGATGATAAGTGGTACGCAGTTAACCTGTACAAACCCCCACTTTCCTGGTCTTTTTTCCATGACAATCTTTGTAAACCAGTCAGTCATCACATGACCATGCGCCGTATTCTTTCTGGAAGGGTTTCATCCCCAGGACTGCACCCAGTGCTCGAGACAATGAAATGCAACACAATGGAACTTAGGTGGCCGACTGGTTGCAGACAGATTTAATACAACTAAAATGTTTTGACCTTGTGGATTTCTGCCATACACTGGTCTGTGGGTGAACCTCTTGGTGATTAAGGTTCTCATGTCTTCCACGGCATCGCCTAAGGTATGGGCGTGTGAGCCAATCTGAAGTTCTAAGCACCAGTTTTCTGGGCGGACGAAGTAACGCATTTCGTTGAGTTCAATAGTGGGTAAGATTTCTTCGGTGATTGGTGCTATCCAAACTCTTCCGAAGTTGAGACCTTTGGAACAGTGCTTATAGCTGGTCACGTTAAAACTACAGACAACCGCTTTTAGTCCCATCTGCAGTACATTACCATGAACTGTAGACACTAGGGTTTCCAACGCTGTATCATGTGGAACTAAACGGGTAATCGTTTCTGTCTGAAACTCCATCTTCTTTTGCGTCAGGAGTTTCAGTTACTCTTTTCTAATATTCAGCCGCAAATACTCCCAGTCAAGCTGCACGACCTCCGTCTTGACATCGGTAACGAGTCGTTCATCGAATCGAAGGTTTAAAAAATCATGGCAGTTTGCTCGTACACTGTCGCTCCCGTCAAGAAATCCAGTGTTCTTTTACCCCAAGCTGGGAGCAGATTTGCGTTAAAAGATCGTGTTTATCTAGTTGACAACGTATCCCATCTCGGGAGGCGGCCGTTCAGCCTCACGTAACTGGCGGATGCAGAAAACACCAGATTCTCTGGCAATTTAGGAAGTCATTCGTCAGCTGTATTAGCTGTAGACTTCTTTCAATGAAGTGTTCATGACCACAACGTTCTTCTTACTGACGACAAGGCTTGTATCGTCTCGTTTTGAGCGTTTTTAGTAGATGACGGTAGCGTCGTAATAAAATTATTGGATAGGTGATGTGGATGAATATGCTTTGAAAATAGATATTTTAGTGTATGGGTACCACAAACCACTTGGTTGCGAAGTCTTCAGTGTTTCCTATCCCATTTCGAGGAATAATGCTGACTGCTGCCGATCCGACTAAGTTGGTTAGGTTAGGCCTTCATGTATCGCTGTCAGATTTTATCGCCTCCAGGATTATCCGTTCTGCGCATGAGTGGGTACAGAGAGAGGCAGTGTCCCGACACGGAAACTACTTAACGTAGCCTGTGAAACATCTAATTAGCTCATCCATCCAGGGCGAGTCCGCTTCCCAGGAAGTAATGCGCCAGGCAGCATCGATGATCTGGTGTCTTAATCGTACACAAACAATGCTGCGAAGACGTCGATGGATAATCGTTGGAAGCTCTGTTTGATGTTCTTGAGACGGCCGTTTTCTATATCAAATCAAACCCTTTTAACGGAGAGGCCGACGGCGCGATGGTTAGAGGTCTTGGAGTCTGGAGAAATTTTCTTACCTCATGGAAAGCGGTTGTCTTTAGCCAGTCCTCCGAGTTACACAGTTGCCGAGGTTGGTGGATTTTTCCATCATATCGACTTGTTACTGTGTGAGCAGGTCTACTGGTAATTGTTCGAATGGCGCAATATATTGCCAGAAAGCATCTCGATACTGGGCGGATCCTAAGGGCTTTGCTAATTTCGAAACTGACGCACTCCATCACATTGAAAAACTTTATTTGCTTCGTGTGTTCCGTAGGGAGTTGTTGAACTGAATACCGGGTTCACTTCCTTTGTCAGAAGAGACAAGTTCAACCTACAGAGCTCGCTGCTTTGCTTTATCCATTTTTGGCAACCTGATTTCGTTTCATTCTGGTTTGTGGTTCAGTTATGGTATACATATTGTGGGTTACCAGTTTGAATCTCCCCCAGGGTTTTCGCTTCATTATTCCAAACAATGGATGGGTGATGGAAGTTAAACCCCAGTGAGTATTGACAGTGTTGCTGTCAGTGGTCGTTAGGAATGGATTATCAGTCCATCCATCGACTACCCGTAAATTTTCAAGGGGTCGAACGAACCTGGACAGTGATTCTATTGTTTCTCTCTGCAAAAGCCTCCCTGACCCCATGAAATCTCGCTCTTCATCATTGGGCCATCTCGAGCTTAATCCAGTGACAGCATTGACGAACCTAACTAACGAATTGTCAAACGTAAAGTGAAACTGAGTGTGAGTGCCGACCGTGAAGCCCATTGGCCACGGGAGGCTAAGGAAATGAAAGAGGCGAAAAATATCAGGAATACCTGAAGACTTTCGGTTGATCCGTGTTGCGGAGTTGCCGAAACCTAGAGGTGAACAGAATTTGACGTGCAAGAGGGGAGTGAAGGATGTTGCGAAAATTCCGGGTGTTGTTCGTACTGTTTGCCTCCGAGGATGGGGTCCACGGAGCGCTCTCTCCTTAGGTGGAGACACTGGACGACATGGCGACCAACCGGTATCAGTGGTTCTCATCCGTGTTGCGAGTTGCCGAAACCTAGAGGTGAACAGAATTTGACGTGCAAGAGGGGAGTGAAGGATGTTGCGAAAATTCCGGGTGTTGTTCGTACTGTTTGCCTCCGAGGATGGGGTCCACGGAGCGCTCTCTCCTTAGGTGGAGACACTGGACGACATGGCGACCAACCGGTATCAGTGGTTCTCATTCTGTCGGTTTCCATCCAGATTGTTTGACTGAATGCTGGAGGTGTAGTACCTCGAATGTTTTTGGTACTTCTCTCCACATTCCCCATCTCTTCGAAATAAATTAACATGGTCGTACGTCAGTGAAGCACCAGCGTTCTAATCTTGTGTCAATGATGATGATGCGTCCGCGTGAATCCCCGAAATCTCCGAAAATTCGCCACTGAGCGAAATCATGAAAGATGGTGCGACCATCACTGATAAAGAAGCCTCATCCGCTGGGTTGGGGCGAGATGGCCCAAGTGGTTAGAGCGCGAATTTACTGACCGGAAGGTCCGCGGTTCGAATCCGACCTCCGCCTCTCGACTTCCCCTGTCTAGGCTTGGGCAACCTGGCAGTATCTCAGCCCTCGTGCTTCCTTCGGGTGGCATGGTAGCTAGGCACCGGAAGGGTGCTACAGCTGAACGCTGGGTTGGACACTTTGAATAACAGTTCTTCTGACCACTTGCCATGCAAGTGGATTATGGAACTTCATTAAAACTCTGGATGGTGCATCTTCCTTCGGGTGGTAGCTAGGCACCGGAAGGGTGCTACAGCTGAACGCTGGGTTGGACACTTTGAATAACAGTTCTTCTGACCACTTGCCATGCAAGTGGATTATGGAACTTCATTAAAACTCTGGATGGTGCATCTGGAATACTACGATCTGGGAGATTTTTTACATATGTTCTCAAGAGCCATGGCTTCTGGTCCGGATGCCCCCCACCGTGAACGATGGGGATGAAGTCATCACCCAGTGCTTGTTTGATATGTTTGCTCCGGTTTGAGGCGGATCAGAAATAGTGCCTGTTTTCAAAATGGTGAATGCGCTGCTCATGGAGGGATCAACTCAACGTCAGTCTTAACGAAACTCGTGGCGTTACTTGTGGGGCCCCCGAAGTATTGATCCGAGGGCTGCAGGTAGTGTGGCAGGGGCTGCTATGACACTTCTTCAACTTCTAGAACAATGCCGTGCGGAGAAGCGATCCACGGTTTTGATATTCCTGGTTTTCCAAAGTGCGTTTGACCCTTGATTGGCCTATTCCCCTTAACACTTTCAGGAGGGAGTGCTGATAAGTTTATCGCATTTTCAGACTTTGGAGTGTGAGAGACTACGGAGCTCTCATAAAGTTTCCGACAAGGATGCCCACTCTCTCCATTCTCATTCGTTTTCGTGATCGACGAGATAATGAGGCGAATCCTGGAAGGTTTTCAAAACCCCAATGTTCAGACCAAAATCTTGTCGATATGGACTACGCGGGCGACATAACTCTCCTGATAGGAGGAGTACGCACAATTGTTTTTGGATAAATTTACCAGAGTCCTATCGTCCTTTGACATGCGGTTTGCATTCACAGCGTTTAGGCTTGTGCTTCTGGACATGCATTCACTGAATGTTCTGGGGCCAGTCGTCCCTAATAACCAAACATCACGTCATTTGGACGGATGTGTCACGTGCAGGACACGGGCCAGACGAAGGCATACCCTGATTGGTCGGAATGCCAGCCAATCCGAGTCAAGCACCTTTGACTCGACATTTCTCGCCCCCTCACAGACATTCTGGCACGACCTTGTGGAACATTCTGTGACTACCCTATAAATACAGTTGTAATGATTTTCCTTTGTCTCCATAAAGGGCTGTGTAGAGCTACCGTGCCTTTTTATATACCATAGTGGGCGGAGCAGGAAGCCAAGAGACCGATACAGAGTTGCACGAACGCCCATCAAGTACAACACTGAACACGCCACTTACAGTCCAAGGATAGACTCATTATTGTGAATTGTTTTACTTTTTCTTAACTCAATCATTATGGTTCGAGAAGCTCGGTGGGTATAGAAGGCTGGAGAGAGAGGGAGATGGAGAAGGCGGGAAACCTTCAGAATATGTGTAAGCTCTTCCAGCTGGTGCGTGCGATGGGCCAAAAGAAGCTTCCTGTGAGCAACACAATCACTAATACAACGGTTCGCTTATCTGTAAGGAAGGAGAGCGCTAGAATCGAAGGTTGAACAATTTCAAGACCAATTCAACTGGATACTCGCAGTTGGTCGACCGCTAGAGGTTTATGGTATACTTGTGTACGATGTCCTCTTCCTCGAAGTCAAAGAATCCTATCCGTTTTGGATGGTCTTAGCTTTTAGCCAGGGCCGCCAACTCTCATAGACGATCTCTGGCGCTCACTCTATACAATGCCTTATTTCTTCCTCTGTCTACTTTATCCTAGCATGTATTTTATCTAACGTCTTTAAATCTTTTCTCACAGGTTCTTATCAACTGTCGGAATAATAAGAAATTGCTGGCTCGCGTCAAGGCGTTTGATAGACATTGTAACATGGTACTGGAAAACGTGAAGGAAATGTGGACAGAAGTACCCCGTCCCGGTAAAGGAAAGAAGAAATCCAAGCCAGTGAACAAAGATCGTTACATCAGCAAGTTGTTTCTTCGTGGGGACTCAGTTATCCTAGTTCTTCGTAATCCGTTGGCTACAGCTGCTCCTGCCCGAGGCTGATGGGCGTGATATGCCACACTGTCCTGTACACATTTGAATCATCTTCATTTTTACCTGCTCCACGAATAAAATATGCGCAACAACACATCTTGTCCATGCGTTAGCTGACTCTTTGGGCGTCTCTCTCGGCAATATACGCTCCGCTTGCCAGTACGTAATCTCGTTAGAAAATCCCGCACGCTGGGCCATTACGTTACGGCAACTGACCACAGATACTTCATATGCCTTAGTTGTACTTCACTTGTCACTGTGTTTTAGAAGAAAATTTCTTTTTATTCGACGCTTCACACTGAACCAAGCCCGTCGTAGGTGGAAATTTCGCTGACTTTCCTTACACAGTGGTTCTAGCTACCAATATTCTACGCTTACTTTAATAGTCGATCCCCGTTTTGGGATGCTCATGTAGCTTGGGATCCGGGTGTTTGTGTTTTAAAACCTGCTCGCGTTGGTGAAACACTGTTGTTACATGGAAATCAAACTAATTGGGATCCCAGAGTACCAAGACCAGATATGACTGTCGGATTGTTTGTGTTAGCTTTCCCGGTGTTATGATTTGTCGCCTGAATGTGAGCTGTTATCACAATTCAATTCAACTTTCAACGAGAAGGTGTTCTGGCTTTGAATGGGTGTCTGGATAGTTTGGAACTTGGCGCGTTTCCTAATTTATTATGACACTCGAAACTGGGCGAGATGGCCGAAGTGGTTAGAGCGCGGATTACTAACCTGAAGGTCCGCGGTTCGAATCTGACCTCCGCCACTCGACTTCCCCTGTCTAGGCTTGGGCAACCTGGCAGTATCCCAGCCCTCGTGCTTCCTTCGGGTGGCATGGCAGCTAGGCACCGGAAGGGTGCTACAGCTGAACGCATGATTCCCTCTGAAAACGGGGTTGGCCGTTTTGAGAGAAGCAGAGCCCGTCAGATCATGTTCTTTTGCCCAATAATTGGATTAGTGGCGGGTGAGTGTACCACCTGGGTGGGTTGTCGGTGTCTCTAAGGCTGTTCTAAAATGCTTGAAGTAGCAAATTCAGTTCATTTAGGTGTGCGTGTACGAGTGTTGAGGGGTCATATTTTTGAGAGGACTTTCTCTTACCTCTTCGCTCAACTGGAAGCTGCAATATGCGGCGATAGCAGTGCCGTTTGTATCCATCCTGATTGCTGGAATGCATGGAGGCATACTCCAGAGTGTGACGTAGGCTGGTGCTGGATCCGTTTGCATTTCCTACTGTAAGGCTTTTAAAAATAAACCTGCTTGTGCGACGGTGTTGTCTATAGTGTCGGTGTTGCACCGCTTTAAGGTGCCCGAATTTCTTGTTCGGTTTGTCCATAATGGATCAGTGCGGTGACTTCTCGCAACGATTCCGAAGATATCTGGGGAAGCGTGTCATTAGAAAGATTCAGCGGGCGAAACCAGTCGTGGGTTGTCGAAGAATTTTCAGCAACTTTATGAGTAGTGCATCACAAATGTACATTATCGCGATATCTCGAATATCGTAGCGACTGAAACATGAGGCGGCCTGGCGCTTGGAAACTTCACAAACGAGTGATTCAGATGGGTTCGGGGTGAGTCTCGTAAAACCAAAGTTGTTTGCAAATGAGTGTAGTTCGCTAAGGGGACTGTGGTCTTATTTGTTTGTCGTACCGACAGAATACAGTGAGGGTTCAAATTTAACCGGTTTTAATGGAGGAATATGATTAAGTCTCAAACATTCGGCTATAGAAGACACTGGGAAGTGAGCATCACTGGCTTAGATTTGTCGTAATTCGACACTAATTGATCTGGCGCAGATTGTCGTCTTCAGTGCATAGCTATGTCCACTTTCTACCCCCTGTCACTGGTGAATGGAAATTGTGGTAACCCAAACCGTTATACTTTGGCACGCAGTCTACAGCATGTTCAGTCCTTAAGGCATAATGAGGACCAGCATGAGTGTTCAATGTATGGCGATCGCGAGACCAAATTTTTGGCTGATGCCAACTATTGCAAAAGTAGATGGCAATTACTCGGTTGTAAGGGTCACAAGGAACCAGAGGGGCCCCGCCAAAGGCGGCCGGTTGAAGGGAATGTGTTGAGGTCTCAACTGTCGGCTTTCCGTCAAATCCTCCCAATGATTGTCCCACTTGTTGCTACTTTTTTGGCAGATGCCCGCATTCCAATGGTTTCGCCCCAGTCTTTCTTGAAAGAGGTGTAGAGGTTCACGTTGAGCCGGACTGTGACCAGCCGTTGTCAACCGTGAGAAATTTTAATTTTACGTCTGGCATACGGTATTTTGTGGCAGTTTTAGGAGTGCTTGGTTCTCAATTGTTTTGGTTTATCTTTCTTACGTAGTTGAAATACGCTAAAATAAGTTGGACAACAAAATGCCCCTTCCGTTGCGGCAAATGTTCTCAAAGTCCTCTCCAGGAGAACCTTCGCCATCTTACTTTTTTCATTATTACACGCAAGAGCAAGTAAGTGCTCTCCAGAATCCATTTTCACAAAATCTGGTTTCAAAAAGCGCTACCTGACGTGACTTTTTCCAAGTGGCGTTACTTAACGTGAGGTGGGCGAGACGGCCCAAGTGCTGACCGGAAGGTCCATTGTCCGAACCCGACCTCAGCCTCTCGACTTCCCGTGTCTAGGCTTGGGCAACCTGGCAGTATCCCAGCCCTCCTGCTTCCTTCAGGTGACATGGCCACTAGGCACAGAAAGGCTACAGCTGAACGAACTTGACGTGACACCAGTAATGAGGTTGATGAGAATTTCGATACTCCGCTGTCAGTTTCGTCCTTTCGCGGGACTCATAAGATAGGCACAATTCTTAAGTCTCCGTCGATCTTGTGTATTTGCCGAGTGCACTCATAAGCAGTCGGGTTGGTGTTAATCTGAAACCTATCCGAATCCAAGTTGGGTCTTTCGTTTATGTCGAGAAAAGATACTTCGAACACCAGGCTGATGAGGACTCAGGACTGCGCCTGGCTGACGAGTCCAAGCGGGGCAAAACCGGTCGTGGACTGTCAAAGAGTTTTAAGCAATCTTGTAAGTGCCCCCGTGCTTCCTTCGGCTGGGATGGCAGTCAGGCTACAGCTGAATGACATGATTTGAGTCTCCCATCAACACCAGCTTAATCTGCAAGTGAGTGTTTTTCGCCAAAACGTTACTTCATTTAGTCGGAGATGGATGAGTCACGTGGACCACAGATTTATACCCCATCTTCTTGCTGGTTGAACGCGATCTTCGGCGTCTGCTTTCGATGGCATGAAATTCAATTGGGTTCTACTGTTGTAACCTATCTAGTCCTTTGGGTTCACCTATAAAAACTCCATTAGACGCACCACGGATAAGCTCGTTGTGGATTTCTAGTCGTTCAGGTGTAACACCATTTTGGTGCTAGCTGCCATGCCACCCAAAGGAAACACGAGGGCTGAGATACTGCCAGCGTTGTCACTATGCCACCAATTGACTTTCAGATCAGTACGCCAGTCACAGTGACCATCACGCCTGCATTGGTGCGAGGTTTATTCTGTCGGGAAGAGGCATAGAATGAAACACAGAATTTTGGGTATAAAACACTTACGCCAAGCATTAGGTTGTTCAAACTTCAAGAAAAGAAAAGCTTAGGATCCGTTGCTTGTCTGGTGAGCTTGTTGAACCATAACCGGTGATTGTTTCTCGCCTTCTGAGCAGAAATGAGAAAGCCAATAATCTCCAAAGGCCCCACCCATTTTCGGTGAATTTGAGTTACTTGCGAAACGTTGATGCCGTCGGAGGTTAAAATCCCGGATATTTCCTGAAAACATGAAAACTGGGTAGACGTCCAGTCTTTGGGCTTAAAAGTATGGATGCTATGGAAGGAAGTTCAATTCTACTAGGCCTTCACATCTTGACATGTTCTTCATAAACTGACCTAAAAGCGGTTACGATCTAAATCATCTGTCCAGTGTCAAGTTGCTGCGACAAAACAAAACTTACGAGATGAAAGCTGTATTGGAAATCCTCAAATCTCCTCACACTACATACAAACTATAAGTAGTTAAAAAAGGGAGAATAATTCCTACGACGGGTGGACTTTCCATCTGAGAAGTAGTCACTCGGGGAGCCAGTCAACATGTGACCGAGTAGTATGGATTCAATAACTGAATGATGAGTTGCGCTATACCCTGTCACAATGCGCGTTACTCACACCGCTGACCAGCAGCCGAAAGGTCACGTGTTCAAACTGGTAGCTGGGGGGTCATGGGTTCTAACCCACCCCACACACTCGAAGTTTCATGAGGTGCATACTACTGATAATTTCCAATAAGAATGAGTCAGCTGTGTAGTGCTTGTCGGCTTTTCAGCATAGATTGGCTTCACTGGCAGGACGTTATCAAAAAGAACTGTGTGGGTTGTATTGTCTCCTCTTCCATGCGGACGAAATGTGCTCTGAGATTCCCCGTTGAAACAAAGCTACCTTAAAGTGGTCTGATGAGGTAGTCTGTTCTTTAGCTCTTGTCTGGTGATTGATGGTGCGGTGGAAACCACTACTTGCAACATAAAATGTCCTGGATACTGTGTTTTGTGATTCTCGCGTCAGTACGTCACAAACCAGACCGCGTTTGAAGGGAATTTGCTGATAGAATCATCCTGGATTTTTACTCTCGCATAACTTGCTTTCGCTAGAAATCGTTCTGACCAGCTACTGCTGAGACACATTACTAAGGATGTCTAGTTCTTCAGTGAACATGATTGTCGAACATCTATCGCGCAGACAATGGATGAACTTCGGTTTGTTTGGCATTGGGGCGAACAAACTTGAGGAAATGTGTATACTAATCCGGTCATTCAGGTTGTACCGACCCATCTAATGTTCTTGCAGGTAGAAGGGTCAGCTGATCGGTGCTGTTCAAATCCACACGTTAAGGTTGCACCCGGTTGACCCCATTAAAACGTCTAGGATACAGGCAGAGTCAATAAAAGCATTATCAACATACGTGTCATATTAGTCGAATGATTCTTTCGTATTGACTAGTGTTGGATCTTCAAATGTGAACATGATTGAACTTGTAGGCCTCAGGCAGGTAAGAAGGCCAAGAGCTTCCCGTCCGTAAGACTGTCCATTGGGCGAGATG